TACAGTCTTTTACGTAGCAATAACCCCAACTCAACCTAGACTAGACTCGTCAATTTGAATACATTCAATATGGCAGAATGTCAAACATTCGAAAGCAGACAATCCATATATATGAAAGTTGATTGTTTGCGGTTATTAAGTTTTATTAATTATAATAACTAGAAGTGAGGATTGTTTGGGCTAACTGTAAGTTTTTTTTTTTTAATAATGAGAATATTTGAATTAGTTATACATATTTCAATTATTTCATCAATCTTAGAATTACCGAACGAAATAGAATTTCAGTAATAACCATGAAATCTCCTTCAGTTTTTTCACCATTAGGCCGGCGGGGTTTGCTTACTAAGTCTGAAACATTCTTTCTATCAATACTTACGTGTAAATATAAGATTGAATTAATGATTGAAAGACTTATTTTTTGACTGGCAAAGTCCATTGATTTTAACTATGGTATTTATTAGACTTTCTTTTTCCTGGGAGTCGGATAGATGAGACACTGTTTTACTCCCTTGACGTGGTATATATACAACTGCCTCAAGCAAATCTCTCTCACAACATAAACATATTCTCACTTACTAGTGAGCATTTGAGAGCAAATGGGTTCCTTCGCAGCAATTGAAAGCCTCATGCAGTTGCATACCTTACCGGCAAGGCCACATAAATCCCATGCTAAAACTGGCCAAAATTCTTCATCATAAAGGCTTTCATATCACCTTTGTAAACAGTGAGTTCACCATCAAAGCCTTCTTAAATCTAGAGGCCCCAACTTCTCACTGGTCTCCCATCTTTCGATTCGAAACCATTCCCGATGGCCTCCCTCCCACAGATGTCAACGCCCTCAAGACGTCCATCTCTATGTGACCCCACTAGCAAATATGCTTACCTCATTTAAAAAACCTTCTTGGTAGGCTAAACGATCCCCTCCGATGTTACCGGTGAGTTGCATAGTTTCTGATGGAGCTATGAGTTTCACTCTTGATGCAGCTGAAGAGTTAGGCATCCCTGAAGTCCAGAATTTCTGGACTTCTAGTGATGTGGTTTATGGCGTATGTTCACTATCGCCAAACATTGAGAAAGGTTACACACCTCTCAAAGGTATATTATTATAGTACAGTAAATACTTTTCAACTGGTATACATAGTTAAGAATATTACGAGTTAAGAATAATGAAATAAGATAAAGCATAAATTCCTGGAATAATTAAAGCCTTAATGAATGAGTTTGATCGGTTGTGTTTATTTTTCAAATGTCAAACATAATGATATATTTTTTTGATTCGCAGATGGAGTTACTGACAAAATGGGTACTTGGAAACAGTTATAGATTGGATACCAGCATGAAAGATATCCGGTTGAGAGATACCCACCTTTATAGAACTACTGATCGTAATGCTATTAGATAAATTTCTTCTGTCGGAGACTGCAAGAGCTAAAGGGCTCTGCGATTATTTTGAACACGTTTCATGACTTGGAGAAGGTGTTTTTAGATGCGTTTGCTTCAAATTGCCACCTGTATACTTCATCGGTCCCTGCATCTTCAGATCAATCAGATCTAGATAACGACACGAACGAAGCAGATTGGATCAAATTTAGGAAAGAAAGAAACTGTATGTGCGAGTGGTATACTCAAAAAGAACCCAATTCAGTTGTTACGTGACTTTGGTAGTGTTGCAGTCATGACGGCCATCAAAATTGAGTTTGCGGGGGACTGCGACAGCAAGCAAAACTTTTTGTGGGTCATTAGGCCCGACCTGGGTGTGGTGACACAGCAATTCTACCACCAGAGTTTTGACAGAGATCAAAGAAAGGAGTATTTTAGCAAATTGGTGTCCCAGGAACAAGTTTTAAGCCACCATCAGTTGGTGGATCTTCACCCTAAGCGGGTGGAATTCTACGCTTGAAATATCGGTGGTGGATTCCCATGGTTTGCTGGCCCTTTTTCGCTGAACAACAAACAAATTGCCGATACAGTTGCAAAGAGTGGGCATAGGCATGGAGAGATAACGACGTGATAAAGAGATGAAGTTGAAATCCTTGTTCGAGAGGGATGGAGGGGAGAAGAGAAGGGAAAGAGATGAAAAAAGAAAGCACTGAATGGAAGAAGATGGCATAAAAATTCCATACTGCTCCTGAGGATCATTACAGAATCTGGACGAGGTTATCACACAAAGTGCTTCTGACTCAAGAAGTTAGACTTATTAAAAGCGTCATGGATTGCCAACTTTAAATTCTTCCTTCTTGTGATTCAAATCTCTCTATGTTTGGACCTAGTATTCATTTATTATCGTATCCATGCCGATATAAAGTGTAAACGCATCCCTCACATACTTAATTATACCATAGATCAGGTCGGTTGTGCGTCATTCCGGCACCGGCCATTTTTGTTGTAGTCTTGGATAATTTTTTTCAAGTTTAAAGATATTTATGTTCTAAAAATTTTGTATACAAGATAAAATAGTTCTAAATATATTGTAAATTGTTTTTTAAAATAAGGGTATTATTATATCCAAAAATTTTAATTAAGATAAAATTATAATAAAAATAAAATTAGTAAATAATCTAAAATACTTAAAAAAAAATGATAGTATTCATATTGTCTTTTTATTATAATAATACAATTATTATAAATTTTAAAAGATTATAGAAATTTTTATTACTAATAATCAAAAGTGATAATCTAAGTATATAAAATGATATTATTTAGTATAAGAGATAACTCCTAATGAAAAGTCAGGATTCATATATATCTACAAATAAGATATAACAGGGCAACCCCGACCCGTAGAGATCGTAATTGGTCTTCTCTGCCATGCTTCTATTCAACCTAACCACCTGCCTCTTCAATCAACTATTTAATCGGAACTTGCTGGAAACCATCCTTGTTGATAATGATATATGTCACAAAGTCAATAACGCTTGGGCTGTAGCCCATCTCCTGGGAGCACACAACGAGGAGTCATTAATTACCCAGAGACACATTGTCAACCCTCAACTTCTCCACTTCGTCATTTCTTCAAACAGGTTACGTTATATTTCAATTGAATTAGCCAATTTCCCAAGTCAGAGTTTTGTATTGTTATGGTTGGAAACATTTATTAAAAAAAAAAGATGGGGTATATGATTCCGTTGGCAACTCATTTAGTCACTTTGGATGCCACCTGCTTCCAATGAAGTGGAGCATGGTTGTCTCGTCTCTCCATCCAGCTTGTCTCAAGGCTGAATAGTTAAGGGCTGTTCCCATACTTGCAAACATGGCCACAACTTGATTACTTCAAATTTGCACGAGGGGTGCTTTGGAATTGCTTCCTTACCTTACGTGTATTTTAATTCGACATTATTTACTCTCACGTCCTTATTAATTTGAGTGTACCACAATTAACCGCATAATCATAGATTCAACTCCAGAAATTTAACCAAAAAAAAAAAAAAAAAATCTCAAATGAAATAATCATACTCCTTTGTATTATTTGAAATTAATCTAAAAGGAAAAAAGGAATAGTTTTATAAACATTCAAGTAGCAATAATACTTTTGTGTCAGCTTAATATATCTATTTGATTTTTGAAGAAGAGCGCCCATGTCCATTGGAATTTATTTTGGAAGATACAAACATAAATAGACGTCTCTTCAAGTAATTTCATAGTTTATGGATAGATTGAAAGTTTTGAGTTGAGTTATGTAAGAAGACCATCCATTATAAAGAAGCATAAAAATAGTAGGTGAGCGACTCCTGATACAGGCAATCAGACATGGCTATAGTGACCCCACAAGTATGGGGAGGCTTTGAGTGCAGACTGCAGAGCTTATTTTCAGCTGATCATCAAGTCTTGGAAGGAATCCCATGATGATGATGATGTGTAAGTGCACTGGACTTTTTGGCTAAAACCTGTATAATAAAACATGAAGGGATGAACCTACCCACCAGAAGGCCATATAGATTCTTTTTAGAGCCTCCTAACACCTAGAACAATACAAAAATATAACAGTGAGGTCATCAATGCCTGCATTTGAAGAATAATCGAACCCAACATGCTCCATTTGATACTAAGATATTGCATTATCAGTAAATATATCATAAAGTTTCGAGCCCTTTATTGCATTACTGGCTTAAGATATGTAAATATCGATCCAAGAAAAACTCTAAAATTGATGCATTGAGAAAAGCATTGAACACATGCAACCCATATAACTACGAAATAGAGACAATAGCGACAACAAAACAACAATAAAGCAAATCACAGATAATAAATACAGAGAAAATAACACGTACGATTTATCTTGGTTCATCATATATGAATTACATCCAACTGAGTCAATATTATTATTGATATTGCAATATTTTCTCACCCCTCTCTCGTTTACCAGGAATGAATTACCTTATGATTTGCTATCACACTCATAACAAGAGAAAAATATGTTTATATACTAGGTTTAAGTGACAAAACCTAATTTTACAAGGATTTATATTCTTAAGCCCAATCCATTAAAAAATTAATAACTTAAAGAAATCCTACAACGATTATACATGAAAAAGGCCCAAATCACCTACGGTCTAGGGGCGTTACCCTCGCGACCCTCTCCACTCACCAGGCAACGGAACCCCTAAATGCATCTTCGTAACTCATTAATACTGAAGTAGTCGCCAACTGCAACACTGCCATTGTCCATTTACATTTGCTCTTTACAAATTGAGTAGCTAAGGCCTAAGAGATTCATAAAATCTTCAACTACTTCTATGTAAAACATAAGAAAAAATAAAAAAAGCCCTTTAAAGAAAAACAGATTCTTTTCTTGGCTCATTTCTTCCAATTATCCTATCTTATTTAAGTTCTTCTGAGTTCTGATCCCTTTCTTTATTAAAGTGAGAAGTTACGAACAATAAATAATTGGGGTAGTTGCTAATGAAAGCTACTGAACTGCTTCCACTAACTCAGTTCATGCATCTTCACACCCATATATACTACCTCACTGAACCCCCTCTTTCACAACCCAAATCATAACAATTTCAAACTCTCTCTCTCGAATGGCTTTTTTTCAAATTTCCTGCAAACTGTCTCTTTTGCTTTTTCTTTTCCACTTCAACTTATTCAGCTTATGTCTAGGAGCAAGAAAGCTAACTTCTTTGTATCAACCACCTCCCATGGCCTTAACTTATCATAAAGGTACTTTACTTGAAGGAACCCTTCCCGTATCCATTCTCTGGTACGGTGGATTTTCTCCAGCTCAAAAATCCGTTATCGTTGACTTTCTTCTCTCTCTCAACCCACAAAAGCATCAACAGTCCGCAACTCCATCTGTGTCCAAATGGTGGCTTACCATCCAAACCTACATGAAAAATGCTGGCAAAAAGGAGACTCATATTACCCTGTCAACCCAATTCTCTGATAAAAATTGCTCTTTAGGCAAAATCTTAAAGAAACATCAGGTGTTTGACCTCGCTCAGAAAGTTAACTCGAACCCAGGTGGGTTAACTCTAGTTTTAACTGCAAAAGACGTGGCTGTTGAGGGATTTTGCATGAGTAGCTGTGGCTTTCATGACTCAAACCCGAAAAAGAACTCGGCTTTCATCTGGGTTGGCAACTCAGTGAGTCAGTGTCCAGGCCAATGCGCCTGGCCATTCCACCAACCAATCTACGGACCACAAACAGAACCACTGGGTGCTCCTAACGGAGACTTCGGCGTGGACGGCATGATTATAAATATAGCGAGTCTTTTGGCTGGAACCGTGACCAACCCATTCGGGAACGGCTATTTTCTGGGGTCAGCTGACGCGCCGCTCGAGGCTGCTTCCGCTTGCCCTGGGGTGTACGGTGAAGGGGCGTACCCCGGTTACGCCGGGGAAGTATTAGCGGATCCTACCACTGGTGCTAGCTATAATGCGCACGGTGTTAATGGGAGGAAGTATCTGTTGCCTGCTTTGTTCGACCTTTCTACTTCTAAGTGTTCAACGGTGGTTTAAGTGCGAGTGTTGCGTTTGATGCAATTCATTGCACCTATATGGTGCTGCCGCTGTTTCTGTACAAACTTGTGATTTTAGTGGATGTGTAAATTTTTTTGAATCTAATTTTCTTCGACTTCATTTCTAGTTAGGTAAACTTATTAGTTATAAATATGAACTGAATCAAGGTCAGCTCAATGATCATAATTTATGTGGTCATCATGACACTCTGAAAAGATTAATGCATTAATAAACTATCTTCATAACTTTCAAGTAATTTTAGTTTTATAGTTTTTCTGGTATAATTTTGACAGAACACTCATGTGTTCGGGTAACTTATGTGTATTTCGACTAATCTTTCGATTCTGAATAAGACTTTTGAAACAGGACAAGCTCTATAATCTGTGGACAACAATTATTCTTATGATTCGAACCTTAGACAACAAGGGGAGCAAATCCCTTGGCCTAAGCGTTTATCACTCGACGAGTCCATTGTTGGTTATACGAAACCGATTTACAAATTGTCATTCAGTATTTTTAAATACGACGTCAGAGTATGTTGGGCTAATTTCATACGGCAGTAAACTCATGTTAGGCCGACTTCTTACGAAACCCAGCCCAACAAAACATTGGGTTCGGAGTTTAACATAAAATTTAAAAAGGGTTATAATCCTTGGCCCACGTAGAGGGCCCATTTTTGGTGATTAAGCAAAAATATTAGGGTGAGTTGATACTAGATAAAAAGAAAAGATTATTGAGTGTTAATGTGTAATCCTTTGGGAGGGGCATTCTACTGCTAGTTTTGTTTGTGTTAATCCAACTTTATGATATCTCTCACAAGAGAAAACCTAACTCTCAACTTTTATTTCACAATTTCAATAATGAGATGGTTATACGCTAATACTTTGTATGGAAGGTTTATAATACATGTGCTATTTTGGTAGATACGTTTACGTACCACCTATATTTTAGGCATGTTATAAAGAACAAGTAAGGAACTTTTCTTCCCACAATTAATTAGAATTAAGGCAGAATGTTTAAAGAAAGTTGTCACCGAGATGGTCCGTGATTACCTCCACACCGTAGAATATGGGCCATGTTTGTAATTTTGAAGTTTGAGTTTATGACGCTATTTTCGGCTCTTTCACCATAATTTCTATGGTTGGAAACTATTATTTTAAGAGGATGGCTATCTAATATTTGACTCTTTAGCATTTGAAGGGTGAATATCTTAAAAATTCAAAAAAATCATACACATAAGATGTTGATTAGGTTTGAAATTGCTGGTTACATCGCTAATTTAAAGGAGGTTAATAATTGAGCATTTGATTGTGGTCCTCCCCTTATCCCTAGCGTACACGCAATCTATCACATACATAAAAAATAATTAAAAATTCTGAAAGGTCCAATGATATTAATCGGTGGGATTGTAATCTTCATCGGACTAATGCCATTGCCTCCACCGTATAATGCTAAATTGGACCAACACCGCCACCCAAATGTCAGGAACGTGTTAATCTCATGTGCCACTATGAGCCAAAAGAATAAAGATAGGTTAACAAACACTTCTTACAACTTTCTCTCACAAACGCTAACGCGATAGCTTGCATTTGGTCAAGCGGGACCTATTATTGGACAAGTAAGATCCATTGCAAGCTGACGCGTCGCATTTTTTAGAGAAAGTTAATGGAAAGGGTTTATGAGTATAATATTATTGGAGCCAAAAAGTCGTGAGAAATCATATAATCAGTACAAAATAGCCGACTACATATAACAAGTTGGAAAAGGATGAGTGGTGTAGTGATACTGTTACTTATGGATATTTAGTTATTTATTTCATTAAATAAAAAGAGATTTTAAAAGGTATATAATGTAAAAGTGTGAAGCTAAAAACATTAAGTCTAACGTCGCCGTTTTGGTTCAAACTTCATGCAATCCTGATGGTTGATTCAAGGTTCATCTAATGACTGAAATTTCCCTGAAATTTCAAAGGTATAAAAGAGGGCAGCCCTCAATTAAAGCTATAGTGAACAAAACAGTTTTTCTCATCTTCTTTGACTCTGTAAAATTCTGCTTTGCTGGGTTTTTTAGTTTACTTTAATTCTTGTAAACTTGGTGCAATCAATTGGGTTGTTGAGTGAAGGTGGTGTTTCCTTAACGGGTAGAGAAGCTTAAAGAGTCTTTCTCTTGGGTTTAAAGGTTACATGAAAAGAGTTGAGTGATAGATTAGCAAAGTGAGTTGGGTAGTGTTTGAGAATCTGAAATTGTACTCTGTAAACGATATTAATCTTCTTAGTGCAACGAGCCTCGGTGTTTCGGAACTCAAAGTGGACATATATAGCTTGCTCAAATCTTGAGCAAGTGAACCACTGCAAACTCTTGTGTTTGTTTACTTGTTTTTTATTTCTTTTGTGATTAATTGGTTGGTTAGTGTTTAGATTAGTCACAAACGGCAACATATAATTTTGGCAATAAGTCTCATATGTGGTACCGGATGAAGTAGCTTTTCTCATCGTCTAAATATCTAATACGTCAATCGTCTAATTCAACATGTTTGACTGGTGGGTAAATGAAATGTGCAAATTTGATTTTGTTCAGCTTTTAGCATTGCATTTTCAATGTTTGATTAATCCGTAAAAGAAATAACCATTCAAGTCTTGTATGAGATTATTGAAATTTGTACTATATCAGTTGAAAATTGCGATTTCACCTTCAAAGTCTAATCTCATTAATTTAATATAGAGTCGTGCAATAAATTTAAACAATTAAAGTATTAAAAAATATCTTTGTACAAGTTCTTTACGTAGCAATAACCCCAACTCAACCTCAGACTAGACTCGTCAATTTGAATTACATTCAATATGGCAAGAATGTACAACATCTGAAAGCAGACAATCCATATATATGAAAGTTGATTGTTTGCGGCTTATTAAGTTTTATTAATTATAATAACTAGAAGTGATGGATTGTTTGGGCTAAACTGTAAGTTTTTTTCTTTTTTTAAATTACTGAGAATGTTTGAATTAGTTTATGCATATCTCAATTAATTCCATATAATCTTAGAATTATCGATCGAATAAGAATTTCAGTAATACCCCCATGAAATCTCCTTCAGTTTTTTTACCATTAGGCCGGCGGTGGTTTGCTTACTAAGTTTGAAACAATTCTTTCTATCAATACTTACGTGTAAATATTAATGATTGAAAGACTTATGTTTTAACTGGCAAAGTCCATTGATTTTTAACTATGGTATTTATTAGACTTTTCTTTTTCCCTCGGGAGTCGGCATAGATGAGACACTGTTTTACCTCCCTTTGACGTGGCTATATATAAAACTGCCTCAAGCTAAATCTCTCTCACAACATAAACATATTCTCACTTACTAGTGAGTATTTGAGAGCAAATGGGTTCCTTCGCAGCAATTGAAAAGCCTCATGCAGTTTGCATACCTTACCCGGCTCAAGGCCACATAAATCCCATGCTAAAACTGGCCAAAATTCTTCACCATAAAGGCTTTCATATCACCTTTGTTAACAGTGAGTTCAACCATCAACGCCTTCTTAAATCTAGAGGCCCCAACTCTCTCACTGGCCTCCCATCTTTTCGATTCGAAACCATTACCGATGGCCTCCCTCCCACAGATGTCAACGCCACTCAAGACGTCCCATCTCTATGTGACTCCACTAGCAAATATTGCTTACCTCATTTTGAAAACCTTCTTGGTAGGCTAAACGATCCCTCCTCCGATGTTCCACCGGTGAGTTGCATAGTTTCTGATGGAGCTATGAGTTTCACTCTTGATGCAGCTGAAGAGTTAGGCATCCCTGAAGTCCAGAAATTTCTGGACTTCTAGTGCATGTGGTTTCATGGCGTATGTTCACTATCGCCAACTCATTGAGAAAGGTTACACACCTCTCAAAGGTATATTAATTATAGTACAGTAAATACTTTTCAACTTGGTATACATAGTTAAGAATATTACGTAGTTAAGAATAATGAAATAAGATAAAGCATAAATTCCTGGTAATAATTCTAAAGCATTAATGAATGAGTTTGATCGTGTTTGTTTATTTTTCAAATGTCAAACATAAATTATATATTTTCTTTGATTCGCAGATGAGAGTTACTTGACAAATGGGTACTTGGAAACAGTTATAGATTGGATACCAGGCATGAAAGATATCCGGTTGAGAGATATCCCCACCTTTATCAGAACTACTGATCGTAATGCTATTATGATAAATTTTCTTCTGTCGGAGACTGCAAGAGCTAAAAGGGCGTCTGCGATTATTTTGAACACGTTTCATGACTTGGAGAAGGATGTTTTAGATGCGTTTGCTTCAATATTGCCACCTGTATACTTCATCGGTCCCCTGCATCTTCAGATCAATCAGATCCTAGATAACGACACGAAGCAGATTGGATCAAATTTATGGAAAGAAGAAACTGTATGTGTCGAGTGGCTATACTCAAAAGAACCCAATTCAGTTGTTTACGTGAACTTTGGTAGTGTTGCAGTCATGACGGCCCATCAACTAATTGAGTTTGCGTGGGGACTTGCGAACAGCAAGCAAACATTTTTGTGGGTCATTAGGCCCGACCTTGTTGCAGGTGACACAGCAATTCTACCACCAGAGTTTTTGAAAGAGATCAAAGAAAGGAGTATTTTAGCGAATTGGTGTCCTCAGGAACAAGTTTTAAGCCACCCATCAATTGGTGGATTCTTAACCCATAGCGGGTGGAATTCTACGCTTGAAAGTATCGGTGGTGGAGTTCCCATGGTTTGCTGGCCCTTTTTTGCTGAACAACAAACAAATTGCCGATACAGTTGCAAAGAGTGGGGCATAGGCATGGAGATAGATAACGACGTGAAAAGAGATGAAGTTGAAATCCTTGTTCGAGAGTTGATGGAGGGAGAGAAAGGGAAAGAGATGAAAAAGAAAGCCACTGAATGGAAGAAGATGGCAAAACATACCATTACTGCTCCTGCAGGATCATCTTACAGGAATCTGGACGAGGTTATCAACAAAGTGCTTCTGACTCCAAGAAGTTAGACTTATTAAATGCGTCATGGATTGCCAACTTTAAATTTCTTCCTTCTTGTGATTCAAATCTCTCTATGTTTGGACCTAGTATTTCATTTATTATCGTAATCCATGCCGATATAAAGTGTAAACGCATCCCTCCATACTTCAATTATACCATAGATCAGGTCGGTTGTGCGTCATTCCGGCACCGGCCATTTTTGTTGTAGTCTTGGATAATTTTTTTCAAGTTTAAAGATATTTATGTTCTAAAAATTTTGTATACAAAGATAAAATAGTTCATAAATATATTTGTAAATTGTTTTTAAAATAAGGGTATTATTATCATCCAAAAATTTTAATTATTAAAGATAAAATTATAATAAAAATAAAATTAGTAAATAATCTTAAAATACTTAAAAAAAAATGATAGTATTCATATTGTCTTTTTTATTATTAATAATACAATTATTATAAATTTTAAAAGATTATAGAAATTTTATATTACTTAATAATCAAACGTGATAATCTAAGTAATATAAAATGATATTATTTTAGTAATAAGAGATAACTCCTAATTAAACATCCCTTAAATATACTAATTAAAATGATTGAAGTCTTATCACGATTAGGCATGTCCAAATCTGCTGTAATAAGCAAATTCTGTCACATAACATAAAATAATTAAAAATTTTGAAAAGTCCAAAGATATTAAGCGGTGGGGTTGTAATCTTCATTGGACTTTTGGCTAAATTTGACCAACACCGTAACCTAAATGTCAGACACGTTTTAATCTCACGTGCTACTATGAGCCAAAAGTCGGGAGAATTCATATAATCAGTACAAAAACATATATATAATTTAAATATTGATAGCCGACTACAGATAACAAGTTGGAAAAGGATGAGTGCCGTAATTATAGTGTCAATTAAGGATATTTAATTATTTAAAGAGCAACAAGTCTCATATGTCGTAGGGGTGAAGTGGCTCTCACATCATCTAATTTGTCGATCTTCTAATTAAATATGTTTAACTGGGAGGGTAAATGAAATTATCAAATTTGATTTTTGTTGAGCTTTTATCAATGCATTTTGAAAGTTAGATAGTTTTGTTGGCCACATAAATCAATGTTTATCCAAATATTCCTACAAACCAATGTTTGATTAATCCGTAAAAGAAATAATCATTCAAGTCTTGTATGAGATTATTGAAATTTGTCCTATATTAGTTAAAAATTACGATTTCACTTTCAAACTCTGATGTCATTAATTTAATATAAATTTAAACAATTAAAGTATTAAAAAATATCTTTAATCTTTAATATTGGTGTGGCCAAATATCAGCAGTGGAGATGCTATAGCAAATACGGAATGTCGACCAACATGTGAAAGCAGACAATCCATATATATGAAAGTTGATTGTTTGAGGCTTAATTATTAAAGTTTTATTAATTATAATAACAATTAAAATATTAATTGTTATTATAAATATTAATAGTTGACTGTTAGGATCCTATATTGAAAAGAAAAAGGGTGAGCGTGTGGGTTATAAAGGCTTGGGCACCCTTCCTTGGCAAATTAGTTTTCCAAGGAGAGTTTTACCCAAGCCCATAAAAGACCCATGGCTCAGCCCAAATTATTGAGTTATTGGAGTGGGTTCCTATCAATTGATATCAGAGCATGATCATGCGCCTATGTGGTAGCGCATGCATGACAGGCTAACCCATGGCAGGCTGACCTTGGGCCCGAGTTGCTACCCCAAGAAAGGGTATGGAGGCCCGAGGGAAAGGGGATCTGCATAGTCATCCAAGAGGTAAAGAGGCCGACAAGGGTAAAGAGGCCGATGTAGACGTTGGTTGCGGAAGCGTGGTGGAATGTTAGGATCCCATATTGAAAAGGAAAAGGGTGGGCATGTGGGTTATAAAGGCTTGGGTACCTTCCCTTGGCATGCTGGTTTTCCAAGGATAGTTCTACCCAAGCTCATAAAAGACCCATGGCCCAACCCAAATTGTTGAGTTATTGAAGTGGGTTTCTATCATTAACATACTATTGAAATCTTTTTGGGTCCGTTTAGTTCATTATTCTGATACTTTTTATAGTAATATCTTGAAAAAAGTTAAATTGAATGGGTATTACCATGTAGGATTTGGAAATTAATAAAAATACCTCATATGTTTGTTTATTTACTAAATACCCCTATAATAAAATATTAAAAGTTAACAAAAACACCCCCAACCTACCCATTAAATACAGACAGCTGGGCACCACTGTCGGAGGGTGGCCGGATCAGTGCATGACCGGCTGAATATTACCGGTCGTACACCGATATGGCTTTTTCTGGCAATATCCACGATGGATCTAGTCAAAAAAAGGTCAGATCTAAGGCAAGATCTGACCCATTTGGTCGTCAACGACTAAAAATCTGACTTTTTCTGACCAGATTTATTATCAATCTGATCGAAAAATGCTAGATCGGTACACTATCGACCAAATTCAACTGGTAGTGTGCCATTATACAAGATTCTGGTTAGTTTTCGATAGTGGTGGCCAGAATTTAATAAATGTGTGTTGTTAGGGTATTTTTATAATTTTTAAAATAAAATTTAAGAGCATTTAGTTAAATTAATAATTTTAGAAGATTTGAAAGAAATTGAATAATATAAAATAATATTTTAAAAATAAATCAATTTTAGTGTTTAAGTTTATTGAAAAGAATAATATTTGGAAGTGTGTGAAACGGAGCCTTTATCATTTACTATTATTGGCAGACATTTTATTTTTTTATTACTTTTTCAGCTGTAAAGTCCATCGATTTTTCAACGTTGGTATTTATTTGACTCTTCTTTTTCCCTCGGGAGTCGGCATTGATTAGCACTGTTTGACCTTACTTCTTGACTTGGCTATAAAACTGCCTCAAGCTAAATCTCTCTCACAACATAAACATATTCTCATTTGCCAGTGAGTATTTGACAGCAAATGGGTTCCTTGGCAACAATTGAAAAGCCGCATGCAGTTTGCATACCTTACCCGGCTCAAGGCCACATAAATCCCATGCTAAAACTGGCCAAAATTCTTCACCATAAAGGCTTTCATATCACCTTTGTTAACAGTGAGTTCAACCATCAACGCCTTCTTAAATCTAGAGGCCCCAACTCTCTCACTGGCCTCCCATCTTTTCGATTCGAAACCATTACCGATGGCCTCCCTCCCACAGATGTCAACGCCACTCAAGACGTCCCATCTCTATGTGACTCCACTAGCAAATATTGCTTACCTCATTTTGAAAACCTTCTTGGTAGGCTAAACGATCCCTCCTCCGATGTTCCACCGGTGAGTTGCATAGTTTCTGATGGAGCTATGAGTTTCACTCTTGATGCAGCCGAAGAGTTAGGCATCCCTGAAGTCCTTTTCTGGACTACTAGTGCATGTGGTTTCATGGCGTATGTTCACTATCGCCAATTCATTGAAAAGGGTTACACACCTCTCAAAGGTATATTAACTATAGTACCTTAAATACTTGGCATACGTAGTCAAGAATAATAAAATAAGACAAAACGTAAAACTGCTGGTAATAATTCTAAAGCATTAACGAACGAGTTTGATCGTGTATCTGTTTATTTTTCAAATGTCAAATATGAATGATATTGTTTATTTGATTCGCAGATGAGAGTTACTTGACAAATGGGTACTTGGAAACAGTTATAGATTGGATACCAGGCATGAAAGATATCCGGTTGAGAGATATCCCCACCTTTATCAGAACTACTGATCTTCATACTATTATGATAGATTTTATTCTGTCGGAGACTGAAAGAGCTAAAAGGGCGTCTGCGATTATTTTGAACNCTTGGGATACAAATAACAATGATTTAGGTCCTTGTATATAGACCCCAAAAGTTTCCCACTTTTCATTCCCAAGCAATGTGGGACAAACTAATATTTTGGCCTATTACATAGAGTCCCTAAACCTTTTTCCATTATCACTCCTACCCCCATGTGATTTGCAAAATGAGCCACTTTTCCAACATTTTGAACACGTTTCATGACTTGGAGAAGGATGTTTTAGATGCGTTTGCTTCAATATTGCCACCTGTATACTCCATCGGTCCCCTGCATCTTCAGATCAATCAGATCCTAGATAACGACACGAAGCAGATTGGATCAAATTTATGGAAAGAAGAAACTGAATGTATCGAGTGGCTATACTCAAAAGAACCCAATTCAGTTGTTTACGTGAACTTTGGTAGCGTTGCAGTCATGACGGCCCATCAACTAATTGAGTTTGCGTGGGGACTTGCGAACAGCAAGCAAACATTTTTGTGGGTCATTAGGCCCGACCTTGTTGCTGGTGACACAGCAATTCTACCACCAGAGTTTTTGACAGAGACCAAAGAAAGGAGTATTTTAGCAAATTGGTGTCCTCAGGAACAAGTTTTAAGCCACCCATCAATTGGTGGATTCTTAACCCATAGCGGGTGGAATTCTACGCTTGAAAGTATCGGTGGTGGAGTTCCCATGGTTTGCTGGCCCTTTTTTGCTGAACAACAAACAAATTGCCGACACAGTTGAAAAGAGTGGGGCATAGGCATGGAGATAGATAACGACGTGAAAAGAGATGAAGTTGAAATCCTTGTTCGAGAGTTGATGGAGGGAGAGAAGGGGAAAGAGATGAAAACGAAAGCTATTGAATGGAAGCAGATGGCGAAACATGCCATTACTGCTCCTTCAGGATCATCTTACAGGAATCTGGAGGAGGTTATCAACAAAGTGCTGCTGACTCCAAGAAGTTAGACTTATTAAATGCGTCATGGATTGCCAACTTTAAATTTCTTCCTTCTTGTAACTCAGATCTTGTATGTTTGGATTTAGTAATTAATATTACTTTTATGATTTATTTATTTATTGCAATCCATGCCTATCTAAAGTGTAAACGCATCCCTCCATACTCCAACCATACCACCGTTAAATAAATAAAATTTATAATGAAAATCCAGAAGATGGATTGCGTAATATGAAATAAATAATTAATTATAGGGAAAGCAAGCCAAGCGGAAGTCTGAATTTGAGGTGTCTTCGGTCCAGTTTCCGAATATAGAAATTAAATGTATTAATAATTGGAGCCAACTATCGTTGTCCTGACGCTTGCACAGTTGCCACGTTGGACTATTGTTTATACAAATACCAATAAGAGATTCGATTGACCTTACATAATCAAAATAGATATGTGCATGATTAATAAAAATCAGCAAATGAATAATAAAAGAGCAATAAAATAATAACACAAAACAATTTTTAAATTTGTTTAGCAAGTTTGAACTTGAGCTTACATCCATTATTATCTTATTATTACAAAAGAAATACAATAGTAAGTTCTCTCTTTCTCTCTAGAATAATTGCCCTGCCCCTAGAAAACAAGTTATGTTAGGTTTATATAGCATCTATTTACATGATAGAGTTGAGGTAAGATTCAAATATGTAGAATTAGAAAGTTGCATGATCTTCAACTACCTTAGTTGGAATCTGCTAAGTCAATTTGAATATCTTTCTTCCAAATTAAGTCAATCTAAATATCTTCTTTCTTAATGGAGAATTATCTTTTTCAGATTTCCCACACAATAATAGTCCCTTGGTTTTTGGAGTGCAAGTTCGGACTTCAAAAACTATGAGCTTCAGAAACGACGAGCTCTAAAACAAGGAGCTCTGAAAACGAGCTTTACAACTCGAACTCTTAAAATGAGCTCTAAAACAATGAGCATTTGAAATAAGGAGCTCTAAAATGGCGAGCTCTAAAACGATGAGCTCTCAAAACCACGAGTTCTGAAAATGAGCTCTAAAACAGTGAGCTCTAAACAACGAGCTCTAAAAACAAGCTCTAAAATGACAAGCTCTGAAATGACAAGCTTTGAAATGGCAAGCTCTGAAATGACGAGCTTTGAAATGATGAGCTCTAAATTGGCTAGCTCTTAAATGACAAGCTTTAAAACGACGAGCTGAAAAGAAGCTCTAAAATGCGAGCTCTAACACAATTAGCTATCAAAATGAGCTCTAGAGCGACGAGCTCTCAAAACAAGCTCTAAAGCCATGAGCTCTGAAAAAAAGCTCTCAACAATGAGCTCTGAAAATGAGCTATAAAATGGCGAGCTCTAAAATGGTGAGCTCTGAAACGACGAGCTTCACACTTTCATTAACGAGTTTGGAATGTACCTCAGTATTTTGATGATAACGTGAGATGTAGACCTCAAGTTTGGACGATTCTTGGATCATTGAAAAGCTTGCTCAAAAGGCTACAACTCTTATGTTTATCACTTTGTCATATTCAGATTGTATCATGCTCCAGTTCTCTCTCTCATTAGTGAGTTATGGCTAGTTTGCACTCTCATTAATGAATTAATGGCAATTCCGTGCTCTCATTAACGAGTTATGACGAGTTTGGAACATGCTTCAATAATTTGACAATAACTTGAGCTAAAAACCTCGGATTTGAACGATTCTTAAACTGTTGGAAAGCTTACTCGAATATCTACAACTCTTATGCATACCACTTCCTCATACTCATACTTTATCATGCTCAATATTCCCCATCTGGCGGCTACTTTAATCCTAGAGTTGGATTTGGTGACATGTGTTGTAGCTAGGGGTGAGCGGTTCCAGGTACCCTGCACTTTTTCAGGGAACCGGAACTGGAACCGCACAGTACAGGTTCCCAAAAAAAGGAACCGGAACCGGAACCGCACAGTACAGGTTCTTCAATTCAAAGAACCAGAACCTAAAATGCAGGTTCCGGTTCCTTTCCAGGGTACCCTGTAAAAAATCAATTACCCCCCTATTAGTTTAAAAAATAACAAAAACACCTTATAAGTTTACAAATACACCCCTAACAAATTTTCATTATTTATTCATTTGTGTCCAATATAACTCATAACCTGTAATCTCTAAGCAACAATTGAATTCAATTAATTCATCACAATTCACATAAAATTCGTCAATCAAAACCAAATCACAAACATTATTCATCACAATTCACAAAAATAAATTATATATTATTATTTATTAATTTAATTTATAATTGGTCATTGGGTATTTATAATATACCAAATAAATTTAGTAAATTTAATATTAGAAACTAGTAATGTATAATTAATAATGATCATACTACAATGTAAATTGTAGGTTATAATTAATTAAGTGATCATACTACAATGTAAATTGTAATGTTATATTAATTAAGTAATATACTATTAATTATAATGAATAGTATAATTAATTAAATTGTTAATCATTTAATTAAGTATGTAATATTGTTTTATAATAGAATGTTATAATTAATTAAATATCAACCATAATTTTATAATATAATGTTAAATTAATAAAATTAATAATTTGATTAAGTATTGTGTAAATTAGTAAATTATTAATGTTTATAATATAATGTCATAATCATTAAGTATCATTTAATTATGTAATGTTATATTAATTATATGATCATACTATAAATATAATGTAATGTTATAATGAATTAGGTAATCATACTATAAATCTATAATTTAATATTAATTAATTAAATTTCAATCATTTAATTAATATACTAACGTTTATAATGGAATGTTATAATTGATTAAGTAATCATATTATAAATATATAAAGTATTGTTATAATTTTAATTTTAATCGTTTAATTAAGTAATATAATAGTATAGTAATTACTAATGTTTATAATGTATGTTATAAATTCATAACTAATTAAGTAATTATATGATCATTTAACTAATAATGCTACATTAAGTAAGTGATCATAAATAATGCAATATAATAATATTATAATTTAATTGAGTAATTATTTAACATTAATTAAGTTTAATTAATGTTTATAATGAAATGTTTATAAGGTAATGTTATAATTAATTAAATTTCTTATCATTTAATTAAGTATTGTGCTAATGTTTATGTAATAAATTAGTAATTACTAATGTTTAAACATAATATCATAACTCATAATCAATTAAGTAGTCATTTAATTATGTAATGTTATAATTATTGATCATACTATAATAGTATAATGTAATGTTATAATGAATTAAGTAATCATACTATCATCATATTTTAATATTAATTAATTAATTTCAATAATTGATTAATATACTTGTTTATAATGGAATGTTTAATTGATTATAATCATATATAAATTAATAAGGTAATGTTATAATTAATTAATTTTTAATCGTTTAATTAAGTAATGTAATAATATATAAATTAAATAATTACTAATATTTATAATGTAGTTATAAATTCATAACTATTATTAATTATGTAATTATTATTTAATGATAATTAATAAGTGATCATAATATATAATGTAATATAATAATATTATAATTTATTTGAGTAATTATTTAACTATAATGTAATGCTTAATAAATGTTTAAGTAATGTTATAATTAATTAAATTTCTTATCATTTAATTAAATATTGTGCTAATGTTATATAGTAAATATTATTACTAGTTTAAAACATAATATCAACTTAATCAATTAAGTAATCATTTAATTATGTAATATTATATTAATATATGATCATAACTATATAGTATAATATAATTTATAATGAATTAAATAACAACTTAATCTATAATTTAATATTATAATTAATAAATTTCAAATAATTTAATTAATATACTAATGTTTATAATAGAATGTATAATTGATTAAGTATCATATTATAAATATGTAAAGTAATATTATAATTATTAATTTTTAATCTTTTAATTAAGTAATGTAATGTTAGTAATTATTAATGTTTATAATGTATGTTTAAAATTCATAACTAATTAAGTAATTATGTGATCATTTACTATTAATGCTATAATTAGTAAGTATCATATATAAATGTATATATATATTATAATTTAATTGAGTAATTTTTAATATCAATTAATGTTTATAATGAAATGTTTATAAGGTAATGTTATATTAATTAAATTTCTTATCATTTTAAGTATTGTGCTAATGTTTTTGTATAAATTAGTAATTACTAATGTTTAAAACATAATATCATAACTCATAATCAATTAAGTAATCATTAATTATGTAATGTTTATATTAATTATATGATCATACTATAATAGTATAATATAATGTATTGATAAGTAATCATACTATAAATCTATATTTATTATAATTAATTAAATTTCAAATATTTGATTAAATACTAATGTTTATAATGGAATGTTATAATTGATTAAGTAATCAATTATAAATATGTAAGTAATATTATAATTAATTAAATTTTTAATCTTTTAATTAAGTAATGTAATAGTATATTAATTATTAATGTTTATAATGAAATGTTATATTCATAACTAATTAAGTAATTATGTGATCATTTACTATATAATGCTATAATTAGTAAGTATCATATTAATGTAAATATAATATATTATAATTTTTATTGTAATTATTTAATATCAATTATGTTTATAATGAAATGTTTTAAGGTAATTTTTTAATTAATTAAATTTCTTATCATTTATTAAGTATTGTGCTAATGTTTATGTAGTAAATTAGTAATTACTAATGTTAAAACATAATATCATAACTCATAATCAATTAAGTAATCATTTAATTATGTAATGTTATATTAATTATATGATCATACTATAATATAAATATAATGTTATAATGATTAAGTAATCATACTATAATCTATAATTTATATTAAATTAATTAAATTTCAAATAATTTGATTATATAAATGTTTAATGGAATGTTATATTGATTAAGTAATCATATTATAATATATAGGTAATGTTATAATTAATTAAATTTTAATTCGTTTATTAAGTAATGATAATATAGTAAATTAATAATTACTAATGTTATAAATGTAATGTTATTAAATTCATAACTA